AGGAGGTTGGTCTAACTACAGATCTCATCCAGTGCTCCCTTTTTGTTGTTGTTTTTGGGATCTCACTATGTAGTCCAGGCTGGTCTTGAACTCACTACATAGCTCTGGCTGGCCTCAAATTTGAGGCAACGCTTTCAGCCTCCCAACTGCTGGGATTACAGGCATGTTCCACCATGCCCAGCCCAGTGGTCTCATTTAAAAAATGATCCTCTCATCCAGCTTTGCACTTAAAGCAGAGATAACTCTTCTACATGAAACACCATTACTACTTGGTCCTGGTAGGCTTACAGGATCCTGTTTCTAAAGTTTCCAGTAAGCCTTTAGAAAGGCTGAAAATGCCCACTTGGTTCCCATGGGCTCCTTTGCAGATACCAAGTTGGAGCCACAAGCCTAGGTCAGTTCTATCTAGCCAACTGCAGGCAGAACAACTCATATCCTAACTGTGACAGTCTTTATCACAATTCCAAAGAGAGAGGCATTTTGGGACTGAACAAACGAAGGAGAGGTGCACCGAAAATCCTACGAAACATACTCAACTCAGACAATCCAACCATCCCTCTCCATCTGAGGAATTGGGATTGGAAAACATCCCCCAGTAATTACAAATCTGTGTGTGTATAAACACACACACATGCATGCACACACAATGCCTGCCATGGAATTGAAACAGTCTAAATCAATGTGAACTATCAGAAACATACGTGTGTGTGTGTGTGTGTGTGTGTGTGTGTGCATATAATTTTTCTTCTTTTTCAGATAGGGTCTCCCTTTGTAGTTCAGGCTGGCCTTGAACTCACTATGTAGCCCAGGCTGGCCTTGAACTTTAGGAGATCCTCCTGCCTCAGGCTCTTGAGCGCTGGGATTACAGGCATGCGCTATCATGCCCAGCTAGAAACATATTATACTACTTAAACATATGCAAATGCAGAAAGAGGCAACAAGATCCAGGAACTCAGTAGGGGGTATAGTACCAGCCACTCCTGGGCATGAGTAACTAGTTAATCCACTCTATTCCTGCATTACAAAGCACAATTTCTGAAGCAATTATGTTGCAACATGCTACTGCTCTGCAAGGCATATATCCATCAAGGTCAGGAAATTAACTATTTAGACATTTTAAATGAGTAATCAGGTGGGTAGCTGATACCACTGGTGCAGGCACGATGAGACTACATTCTCCTTATCTTGTCACATTGGCCTCATCTCCTGGGTCCCGGTCTCAGCCCCCTAACTCCAACTTGAAGGTCAGAGTGGACCCCAGCCGGTCCTTCAGGATGTCCATTCCTGAGGGTGCTTCACTGCCATCACAAAAGTCAAGTGCAGGGCAGGAGGCAGAAATGAGGGCTAAGGAAGAAAGCTAAGTGGAATACAAAGAAACTGGATGCATAAGGGAAGAAGAAAAGAATTGCTTCTTGGAAGATCAGGGAAATAAGTACCAGGAATATTTCGTAACCAGAAATATGAGTACACCGCATGAAACCAAAATGTCTGATCTAATTCTGGAGGCGCTATAAACCTGATGGCTGTATTGGGGCTCCACCTGATGTTTCACAGAAATGAACGCTGTAAAACTGAGATCTTGTTGTTTTTCTGTTCACAGGTCCAATAATCACCTATCAGCAGTGTCCTGCCCTTTCCAGATGATTACTGCTGAGTTTGTTATTGGTCTATTTTCTTCCAGCTTACGCAGGTCCTCAGAGAATGCTGTCTGCCAAAACAGGCACAGAGCTTTCTGGCTGTCCATGTACAATCAGGAGCCCATTAAATACCTTTCAGATAACTCAACACCCAAAATTGTCCTCCATGGTACAGCTCCCAGCTGAGGCTAACTGCAAACGGGCTGCCTCTCTGGGTCTGGATCTCCTCAACTGTGGGTCCTGATGGTAAAACCCCGCCCCTCAGACTATGGAGAGAAAGAGTAAATGGGACAGCACTTCACAAATTGTGAAGTACAGGCAGTGACAATATGCAGGGGTGTTATGGCTCACCACACTGCCCTCTCCCCTTGGATCTCTGTGACAAACCGAGTGCACTGAGAGAGATCATCATCATTTGTTCACAAAAGACCCTATCACTTTGGTATTCTACTTAAATAAAGATGTTAAAAGGTTATTCCTTTCTTGAGAAAACGAGTACTTTTTTTCCTCCAAAAACTTTGACTGCTTTCTTGTGTGCTGGGGGAACATATTTCTATCCTCTGGAGAATTGGTTACAATTAGCCTGGAGCTTTATTGGGTGGGACACTACAAGAGGCTACATCAGATAAGGCTCCCTACAAAGTTCTACATGGAGCAAACACTCATCCTTATTACTGTTAGTAGCCTGGTGACTTTGTCCATGACTTTGTCTTCCCTTTTGTACTGGCCAAGGCAGCTGCCTCCAGGTTTTCCCCTATGTGAAGTAAGTACTCCATGAAATGTTAATCTAAATGGTTCAAGGCACTAGCACACAGAAATTAATTTCAAAAATATCATCTAGTTAAAAACAAACTATTTTCTTCTCAACTATTATGTATATAAAATAAGTCTCAGAGTTGATTATAGAGCTAAGGCTCTCTTAATTTCACAATTTATTCACTGTTACAGGTCTACACAAACATTCGAACATCAGGCAAACCTTTCTAGTTGGACCCAGCTCTGAGATGTCAGTGTGTACCTGGCTGCATGCAGATCGAAAAAGAGCATGGGTACCTGACCTGCCCCCAGGGACTTTGTGGGTGGGGTACGGAGAAAGATCGAATAAAGTCAGAGTCAGGAAGGAGCATGAAGGGCTACAAAAGCTCACAGTCAGCAGGAGGGCCATGTGAATTTGAGTGTTGGTTATGGAAGAGTCCCCAGAGAGAAATGGGCTCAGCCCTCAAGGATGAGCTGGAGTTGGCTGACTGTAGAGTGGGCATTCCAGGAGACAGCGAGCAAGAGCAAGCACCTGAGGCAGGAGCACAGCCTTAAGACAGCCCCTGGGGTGAGCACAGCCCACACAGCAAGAGACTGGGGATGACTAGAGATGGGACAGAGGCCAGACACGCTGGGCCTTCAAGGCCAACTGAAGATGCGGTCTTTGGCCCAAAAGCAATCACTGTTTGTGATCTGGAGGCAGGCGCTGAGGTGACCACACACATACTGACTCCAGCTACAGAGTAAAAAACAATGCAAAGAGGCAAGAAGGAGTTGGGGAAAGTCAATCTCTTATAATATTTCAGGTGAGGGACTGTGGTGGCCTGGACTGAAGGATAACTGTAAGGAGGGGTTTGACAGGCAGGTTACACAGGCATGGGACTTGATGGGTTGGATGTGACAGAAAGGAAGAGGGTATTCTCAAGGACAAGCATCAGCACTGGGATTACAAAATTAGAAGAAGGGTCCCAATACCAAGTCTGGGAATAAGAAACGAAGTGGGTTCAGGAGAATGTGCTAGGCTTGAGACATCTTAGAGTCTGAGACCTGGTAACCTCCCAGTATGGGTATCAGAAAGGTATTTAAAGTTCTGTTTCAGGAACCAGTACTATTTCATGCCTCCTAAAGTAGAGACTAATGGCTCCTTACAAATAATCCAAAATCAGTAAACAGAATGTGATAAATAATGAAGTATTTTCTGGAAGCCATGAACTCCTAATAACACTGCGCAAGTAAAATATACTGAAAACTATTTGAGACATATCTGCCTAAGTTCAACTCCTTGAAATATAGCTTTCAGGAGAAATTTAATTCCATTTACCATTCCACACAAAATTCTTTCAATTCTAGTATCCTAATTGAAATGAGGCAGCAAATAAGAAACTATAACATGGCAAAAGAAAAATAACTATTCTCTAACACAAGCAATGAGGGGGCTTTGCAAGACCCAAACAGCTTACTAGTCTGTACTAATTCATTTGACTTTTAAATTAAGGGTAAAAAAGGGAACTAACTTTCACTTAAGATTCAAATTCCAAACGAGGCGTGGTGGTGCATACCTGTAATCCCAACACTGGGGAGGCTGAGGCAGGAGGTTTGCCCTGAGTTTGAGGCCAGCCTGGGCTACTTAGCGAGACACTGTTTCAAAAAAAACCAGAAAAAGAAAATTTCATGTCCTAGACAATTTCCAGAGACTTCTAATTTGTATCTATGTGGCCCTAGGAGGTAGAAATCATGCTTTCATGTATTAGATAAGGAAACTGAGACCAGAAGTTGAGTAATCTGCTTAAGGCCTGTAACCAGTAAGCACAAACATGAAAATCAAATAAATGGAGGCACTCCTCTCACCAGTCTACGCCCAAGACTAAGAACAGCAAGCTGCCACTTCCCAGGGGGCCAGTCTTCTATGCTGGAGGTCACATATTGGGATGTTTATTTAAAAGTTTTTTTTAGCTCGGCATGGTAGCACACTCATGAAATTCCAGCACTTGGGAGGTTGAAGTGGGAGGCTGAGGCAAGAGTATCTCGGGCAAGTATGAGTCCAGCCTGGACTACATAGAGAATTCAAAGGCCAGTCTGAACTACATAGCAAGACCCTATCTCAAAAAAACAAAACAAACCAAATAAAACAAAATTTATTATTACATGCATTTAGTAGTTACATTCTTAGCCAAGATAATCTTAATTTTTATTTTTATTTATTTTTAATTTTTATTTTTTGGTACCAGAGATCAAACTCAGGACCTTGCGCTTGCAAGGCAGGTGGCAGAACCACTGAGCTAAATCCCCGGCCCTGGCAGCCTTAATTTTTAAAGGCCTATTCTTATCCATTCAGGGCTCTCTGCTTCAGCTTTTGTGTGTGTGTGTGTGTGTGTGTGTGTGTGACAAGGTCTAGCTATGTAATTCAGGTTGGCCTTGAACTCACTATGGAGCCTAGGCTGGCCTCAAACTCACAGTGATCCTCCTGCCTGGGCCTCCTAAGTGCTCGGATTACAGGAGTGCGCCACCAAACCAGCTGCTTCAGATTAAGAGTTTCACCTAAACTGGACATGTAGTGCATACCTGTAATTTGAGCACTCTGGAAGGCTGAGACAAGAAAATCACAAGTTCAAGATCAGCCTGGGCAACTTAGTGAGCTTCTTTCTGAAAATAAAAAAAAAAAAAATTTAAAAGGCTGGGAAGAAAAAAGTAAAAAAAATAAATAAATAAAAAGGCTGGTATGCAGCTCAGCGACAAGACCCTAGGTTCAATCCTCAGTACTAGAAGAAAAAATAAATTAAAAAAGGTTTCACCTGATTTGACATATGATCATCTCCTAAAATCTCTGTAAGTTTTAGGTATAATCGCTTATAGAATTTAGATCAAAATGCAAACTCAAATCTGGAAGCAGCAAATGTTTGTTTTCTAACAAATGCCTATGGCAGGTTTCCAACCAAATTCACTGAAGCAATGGTAAACAGACTACTCCTAACAATTTTTCAAAAACAACTTATTTTTAAGCCAAATTCACAAGTTAGTTTCCTCCAGAAATAATGCTATAAGTATATTCTTCATCAGGCCACAAACATTAAATTATCAAATGAGAGATTCTCTGAGTGGTCAGGAAATATTACCACAGTCTTACAGGTGGCAAATGTGTGTGCCACACAGAAATGGAGGAAGGTGCAAATGAAATCATGATAAACGAGGGGGAGAGACATGAACTCGTTGGTACATGAATCATACAATGTTTAAAAATGAACAAACGCCAGATGTGCTGGAGTGAAGTAGACCGCGGCCCTTCTCCAGAGTCTTTTATATGTGCAGACGTGGGTTGCCAATGGGCGTGTTGCTCTTTGTCAAAGCCCATTAACCCCCAGGTATCTGAGATCAGAGTAGTCAATTTGGCACTGCCCGCCACCCATGGCCCAGCCCACCACATCCTGCTTCAGCTCAGAGAGTGGGCAAGGTTACGCAGGTGGCACTGAAGAGGAGATTGGAGGTGGGAATCACAAAGGGAGGAAGGGAGCAAAGGCCATGTGACCTCAGGTAGGTCAGACAGCTGCCTGGTACAGCAGAATGGGCAACATTTCTAACGGAGATCTCGTACAAATTTCAGCTGCGCCCCTCCCCAGCGGTGTAACCACAGGCAACTTACATGATCTTCCTGAGCTTCAAGTTTTCATCAGCAAATGGGAAAAATAAAGTCTACCTCACAGCATCTGTGTGGGAGTGAAAGGAGTCCTACACACCCCACACAGCAGGCTCTTCACTGGATGGCTAGTCCCCTTCCCTCCTTGCAAGGTTTAGGGTCAGTTTTCCGGTCTGCAAAAGGGCAAGCAAGGCGACAATAAAAATAAGAGTGCTGTGGGGATTACAGATGACACATGCCTACAGACTTGTCAATTCCATTCCCATACAAATACTGGTTACTAATGTGCCCTGGGAATAACTGCAGGGCTGATTAACGGGGGTCAAATGTGTGAAAAAATGCTTTGAATGGCAAGAGCAACATCTTTAAAATGACATTCAGAAGAAAAGCAGCCCCAGGCCAACAGCTGCAATCCCTCGACCTATACACCCACAGCCTGTTTGGGGGTTCAGGGCAAACCTAGGTCTGCTAGCCTGTGGAGGCTGTGGCCATTCCAGGGAAGCATTCAGGTGTCAGACCTCATGGAGTGACTGTTACGGGTACACACAGAGTATCAGGCAGTGGAAGGTCAATGGCCAGGCTCAGAGGCCAGCCCGAGTAGGAAGATGTTCAATTCTGCTTTGAAGCAGGGCCAAGAAGCCACAGTCCTCATCTCTCCTCCTGTTCGTGTTGCAGGAAAACTGACAATAAGAAAAAAAGAAAGAAAGAAAGAAAGAAAGAAAAAGAAAGCAAGAAATGGATGGATCACTTTCACAAGGAAACTGACACCAGAGTCCTGATTCCTAAAAAGGTCCTTCAAATAAACCTGTCAAAATCTCTGCAAAGAAGCTCACAAAATTCCATCATGCACCCCCCCCAGTTACTCCCAAAATGTGTTGCAGTAAAAGTAACACGATTCAAGTTAAGAAGATCTCCTCAGAAAGACCTTTCTGACTACTTGCCTCTTTTAAAAGAGAGGTTTTCTTAAAAATTCCAAGTAGTGTAAAAAATAAACATAGCATTAATAATTGAATATATTTTCAAAAGTAGGCATCAGGTATAATATATTCCTGAATATAACATGGCACGGTACCTATGAGAAAGTGAAATGTAACTTAAAACCCCAAATCTACTCAATGGTCTCTTCAGGAGCACAGCCCTTCCAACTGAAAACTGCAGAAACAGTATCGAGCCACTGTGGAATGTTATTTCTCTTGGGAAAATATATTTCTTTAGGAAATTGAAATTCCAATCCAGTTATATCAAAGAAAAGGATCCTGGGCCAGAAAAGGTGGTGCAGCCTGTGACCCTGGCACTTGGGGGGCCTAGGTAGGAGGACCCCCATGAATTTAAGGCCAGCCTGGGCTACACAGTGAGATCCTGTCTGGAGCGGGGGGTATCTTTCTGGAAAAGGGTGGAATAGTCCTGTGTGGTAGTGACTTCTTAGATTTTTACCAGAAAAATAAAGCCTCCTCCATAGGATATCCCCTAAATCAAAGAGCTGCTGCCACAAGGACTCTGGGCTTCAGATCTGTGGCACAAGGCCTGGCTTTGTGCCGCAATCACTCTGCTCCCAGCCCATGGCAAAAGACTACAAAGCAGGACACAGATCTAATATGTGTGGTTTTCACAACACACTTTCATAGGAACATGCACTTTATTTTGAAATTGTGTTACACACAGCACAAGCATGCAATGCTTCCTCCATAACTAACATAAAAAAAGCAATTTAGGGCTGGGGATTTAGCTCAGTGGTTCTTCCACCTGCCCAAGTGGGTCAGAAACTTTCCTAGGAATAACACTAAGAAACCAAAGTAATAATCCTGTTGTGTGAATCTCTCATATTTCTGAGCACCCAGCACAACCTGACAGACCTCATGACTTTAGCCTCTGAAACCAAGACAGAAAGTTGGTAAGTTCTTCACTTAGGATTTTGATTCTTGAATGTATATTCATAGATTGTAACATTTTCTACTGTAGGCTTTGGCGTTTCCTAAGAAGTCTTAGGAATACATTCCTTTACCAAGCTTCTCAAGAAAGATCAAAATTAATGTCAAGTCTTCGATGCTTCAAGGATATCATTCAAAATGCAGGACATTTCCAGAGAAACTTTCCTTCTAGGCAAATTTTCTTCTCCCACGGGATGTTTCTACATAAAAAAATGTAACCCTTTGGTCACTGTTCCCACTGTTTTCTGGCCCCTTCAACAAACTAAATGCCAGATATTTAAAAATTTTTAAATATCCTATAGAATATACATGTATATCCCCTTCATTTTTTAAAAAATGTGTTACTTTCATTTTGACAAATTCTTATTCAGTATATGCTTTTTTATATGTGAAAATTTAAATATCATACAAATTACAGGAATTCTCTACTTCTACCCATTCCGGCTGCTGGCCTGTTGTGATCACACATCCTCTGTTTCAATGAGCCATGGGAGAAGGTGATCTGGTTACTCTGAAAATCTCACTTTCCTTCCAAATCCTCCCAGTTACCAATATTTTTTTCACACATATGGCAATTTTGAATCTTTCTTCACAAATGTGGTCAAAGGCACATTAAATAAAGCTGAAAAATGACTGCTTTCTGCTTGTTCTCCTAGATGACAATCTTCCTCCAACATTTCTTCTAAATCAAAAGGTACTGTTCTACTTAGAAAATAATTGGGTTTTAGAAAAAGCCACGTTTACACTATTATTTCCAGAATGACTGATGTACAGAAGGAGAAATTACAATCTGCTGAGAAAATTGCAAAATAATTTCTAATTCTATTTGCTATAATTTGACAATTCTATCTTGGGAAAGTGTACTATTGAAAGCTGTCTGAAACTCATTCTCTTAAATGAAATCTATTTATACAGATTACTTAGTTCCTTTTTAAGTCACATAAAAGCACCTATAGAGCAAGACCCTTCCTATTAAATCAAGCCATGGTACGCCTATAAAGTACATGTGACGAAAGCAGTAACAATTTTAGTCTCAAAATACCTTAATCGTTTATCACAGCATATATGAATGCTGATTTAGAGATCTTCAAACACTGACATACATAAAAATGAAGTATTGACAATGCCCCCACCCCCGGTGCCTTTTTTGGGTACTGGGGATTGAACTCAGGACCTTGTGCTTGGGAGGCAGGCAGTGGCACCCCTGAGCTAAATCCCTAGCCCGACAATGCCCCTTTTAAAACAAAACAAAACAAAATCTAAGAAAAGCAGAAGTGTTAAAGTCATATAGTTGTTTTTCACTGCCAAGTTTTGTGTTTCCACATTTTCTTTTAAATGTACAGGACCAGTTGGGCATGTTGGTACAGGCCTCTAGTCCCAGCTACTCGGGAAGCAGAGACAGGTTTGCTTGAGCCCAGGCAGGAGTTGGGAGGTCAGCCTGGACAACCCAAGGAGATCCTATCTCTTACATAAAACAGGCTGGGTGTGGTGAAGCACACCTATAATCCCAGAGGCCATCCTGGGCTATATACTGAGTTCAAGGGCAACCTGAGACCCTGTCACAAAACAAAACAACAGGAAAACCATCACCACCACCACCACAACAAAAACATTGGACCTTTTACTCTTCTGGGCTTATGGAATGGATAATAGTTAACATTTGACTTTGGAATATGCTGCATATTTGGTAGCTTCTCATTAAAAAGGTCTGTGTCACAGGAATGTAAACCAACTGGACAAGAGGAAAGACACCCTTAGGCAAAACAGAGAGCAAAGCAAGGTCAGCCAAAGGCACAAAGACTGCAGCAAGAAATCATCTTACATTCAGACTACTGAGGGCCAAGCCCAGCTCTCTCTGTATTTAACATCCACAGTACTAATTCTTCATTAATTTTAGATGTATTTCATGGTAGGTTTTCTGTAATTACCAACAGCTTACTTGACCAGCTCATGAGATGGCTCCATCAATGAAGAGATCCAGTTTCAAAGCAGAGCCTCCCAGATCACTTGCCCACCTTTACAGGAAGGTGTGTGCTGTGACCAGGCCAAGAAGCTGTCTAAAGCAGTAAGTGAAAGAGCCTTTCCTCCAAAATCCTTTAAGAGTCAGATCTCTGACTCCCTAGAGCACTGAGGGAGAAAACAGCAAGGAAAAGCAACTTAAATGGCCCAAGGCAGAAGATGATCATCTTTAACTGTAATTTAAATTTCTGGAGCTGGGGTCACAGCTGTGGGGCAGCACTTGCACAGCATGCACAAGGCCCTGGCTTCAATTCCCAGCATCAAGAGCACACACACACACACACACACACACACACACACACACACACAAATTCTGCTGACAAGGTTGATCTGCCATGACCATGACTGTTACTAGCTATGGGTTTTTTGTTTTGTTTTGGTTTGGTTTGGTTTGGTTTTGGTATCGGAGATTCAACTCAGGACCTTGAGATTACAAGGCAGGTGGCCGAACCACTGAGCTAAATCCCCGGCCTGCTAGTCTTGTTTTATATTGGAACTACCCTGGAAAAATGGTCTTCCAAAAAGCAAATCTTCTGTCTTTATCACCTCGCCTCTGGCAAAACCAGAAAAGGAATATAAAACAGAACCACACATCTGCCAACCAGGTTCACCATCATAAGACACAAGTCAGGTTCATGAGAAAAGGGAGCTGGTGATCAGCAGCAACAGATGTATGCTCTGGACTGGGCAGAGACTACTACAGTTGATAGCTGGACCTAGGGGCTGGAAGGGCAAGCTGAGTTCCCAAGTCACTCCAGGCAAGGGCAGGACCCACTGACTACTCAGGGCTGGGAGGGCAGCCGACCTAACAGGGCAGCCAACCCAACAGAAAAGCCAGCAGCAGCCAAGAAATTATTATTATTATTTTGGGTTTTTTGAGATAGAGTCTTGCTACATAATTCATGCTGGCCTTGAACTCACCATATAGCCCAAGCTGGCAGCGAACTTGCTGTGACACTCCTGCCTCAGAATCTCAAAAGCTAGGATTACAGGCATGCGCCACCATGCCCCAACAATAGATTAATTTAGAATAACGAAGTAAGAAGTAGAAGAAGCAAGAAAGCAGAGAAGGAAGAATAAGAGATAAACCCAAGAAAAATAAAGTGAAGCCCTGTGGAAAGTGCATTGGTCAAAAGAAACTAAGAGGGCCGGGGATTTAGCTCAGTGGTGATGCGGCATGCCCGCTTTGCAACAAGGGAGTTGAATCCCAGTACAAAAAAAAAAAA